AGAATCTAACATTCACATTAGTAGAGCGTGACATTTTCAATCGGCCACACAATAATCACTTCATAAAGTTGGCCTCATGTGACTCTGACGTCTGCAGCTAATATCCAATTAACCTCAGAACATCACTGATAATATAGAATCCCTGTCTGTGGTTAAGTGAACGTACAGAGCAATTATTCACACATGTTACAACACACACGGGCACTAACAAAGAAAACACATCTATAAACCTATGCGCACGCACACACACGTGCACACACACACACACACACACACACACACACACACACACACACACACACACACACACACACACACACACACACACACACACACCTGGAAATAAAAGCCTTGATGCAGTGAGAAACTAACCCGTATGAGCAGTGACAGCTGAATTTAGTGGCACTCAAGGCCAGAGCGGAGGCCCGGCACTGACAAATGAAGTGTATGGAAATGAGCTTGGGCTTTAACATTGTGAATCAACTTGTTTCCACGTTATCCAGCACATGAATGCCAGTAATGACAGCACAGTGTCTTCCTTTAACTTCAGCGCAACACGAAAGCGGATTGCCAGACATAACTTGCACCTATATATACGTATATATATATATTTGCCCTTGAACCATAATGTACAAAATGCTCCATTACAGCAGACCTTGGGAACGACTGTCTGGCAGTGGAAGTTGTTTTTTATTTTATAATAGATAGAGGGGAAAGTAAGTTGAGAAAAAGAACGCTGATGAATGCACATGAGTGGGTCGTGTAATCAAAGCATCCCTCTGCAACCCAGAGTTGTTTACTACAGAAAAACCTTTGATTCTTATCCTCATGTTTCAGGCAGGACTAGCGAGGGTTAAAACCTTCTGGCAGACTTATTTCAATTCCACACTGCAAAGCTACTGAATTTTTCTCCTTGAGTTGATATTGATAATGATCAGAATTAGAGCCAGTAAGCATGAAACTAATCATTAAGCAAAGCTTTTTTTTGCTAGCAGTACAGTGTAATATGTAGTATGGGTGCACATGTGGGGTAACACTTTATGATATCATGAATTCCTGTTGGTCACTCTCATAAGTTTATGTGATTAGCTAACGTTTTAAACATCAATCAATGAATGTTAAGCCACATTTACTTTAAGCAGTGCATACATATTAGAAAAGTGCATTTCAGACCCATGCGTTTGATTGTGCGACATTACCAATTATCATAGAAGCATCACACCCTCACAGCAACATGTAAACCTCTACATGTTGCTGCACGACCCAACAGTCAACACCTCTTGTAATGTCAACAAGTCCCAATCAGATTCCTGACACAACGTTAATTTAATATCCAGTTTTTCTTTCTCACTTCACCATGTTGTAAACTGTTGACGTGCACCGTAAACATGTCTGTCCATTCTCCCTTAATATATCAACTGGTGCTTGCTCAATGTATTTGATTTGCTTCTGTGCTACACTCCACTTCAACAACAAAAAATATCATTTTAAAAACCCAACCCCTAAAGACAATTATGTTAAGCTACCATAACAGACTCATTTAAAAAAAAAAAAAAAACATGGAATAGATAGGGTTCTCTGTCAAATGAATGGGTCTGAAATGCCCTCCTCCCTGTGAAACTGTATTCCAGCAAACGTGGTGCCATATGAATTAATGTATAAAGAAACTGTGAGTTAATACTCATTAATTAATCATCCATTAAGCATTAACTAATCACATGAACTCATACCGACTTTGACGATTTCAGGGACTCATGTTCATTAATGCATGCATTAAGTCATCATGCGTTACTTAAGCATGTGTTTTACAGCTTTATCATAGAGCCTTGTGTTGTGTCTGTGATGTGAAAAATGAATGGTGATGAGGGGCCATGTTAAGAACACAATGTGCTGTTGACAGATGGAGAGCAGCAAGAAATGATGTGAGACAGCGGGTGGAAAATTGTGCACTCCCTGGAAATTGAGCAGAAATTGAGCAGCAAAGCACGGCTGCTCTCGTGGCCCGTGAGCCATGAAGCCACAGAGGATCAGGGCCACCTCAGACAACAACCGGGCTTGCAAGAGAAATCGGGCTCTGGAGCACGCACAACTTCTCTGTCTGAAGCTGCAGATGCAAGTCATTGATTCTTGGGAGCACGTCACCAAATGACCCTAATTGATAGTTTGTGAAGGAGGTCACTCTATATTTTTCCTGCTCCTGAATCTGAAACAAGCTCGGAGCAGAGGAAGGAAGGAACAAGGGAGGAAGAAGCAACACACTAACCTTTAATATGTGAGAAGGAAAATGGCTGCGCACCAGCTCTATCTCTACAATTTTCTCTTTTCATTGAGGAAAAGTACTATTTCATTCATGCCATTTCCGTTCATTCATCAGCTGGGGCCAGCCTAGACTCACAGTGCCATCTCCACACCAACATTCTTATCAATGGAAGTGACGTCAGCACTGCCTGCAGCTGGGGGGTGGTGTTGGTGGGGGGAGGAGGGGATGGTGGTGGTGGTGGTGGGGGGGCCGTCACGTGGTCCACTGAGGGTATATACAATAAAGTTGCGCTGATCGTGGTGCTGAAAACATTCACTCAATTGTACATTAGCACCGTTGCTGCTGCCATACAAACACACCACACAACTAAATAAAGAACCGCCGGTTTGTTTTTTTTTTCTTGATGTTGGTCACAGGCTGAAGAGAGAGAGAGCGAGGGGGAAAAAAAAGACAAGAAATTCTCTCAGGTGATCCACTATTCATGAAATAATCTTGGCTTTACCCGCGTTGTGAGTTTCACCACTTCCCCACCCCCCGAGTGGGACTCCAGGTAAGTGGAACGAAATCTCTATCATTCACCAGCCATACTAATCAGAGAGATTAGGACGTTTTCTAAGTGTTATTTATTTAGTTTTTATTAAATTATGATTTTTTTTTTGCACAAAGGAGGAGTGAGGCTTGTTTTAGGCTTGTGGAGTGTGGAAGAATTTCCTTTAAAATCTCAACTTTATCAGTAGAATTGATCTGTGTGCTGCGACTGTTGGTTGTGATAACTGTAAAGTAGATGTGAACTCGAACTGTTTCTGTTTCACCTTTTTAAATTAAGTAAAACGGAATACATTGTGTTACTTCAGGTAATCGGTCATTTCTTATACTTTTTTTTAATTAAATTGAAAAATGAACACAATTATGAGCAAAAGTTTTTTTTTTAAATTAATGTATTAATATGTATAATAATAGTACTTAATACGTGTGATAACAAAAGATCTTATTTTCTATTTATTTGGGGGGGGAGTGAAGAATTAATACACTACAATGCGTGGACAATTATATTTAATAGATATTTCTGAGTGCAGCTGCTGCTCAGAAGCTCCTGTAAAATTTCGGTTAAGATTTTTCAGACGTGAATGTATCAAAAAAAAAAATCTTAGGATTTTAAAGCCACAGCAAGGTTTGATTTTCGATTTTCAGTTATTAATTTCTAATTAAATTAGAGTCTTAACCATATACTGCGGGGCAGTACCTTATTAAGGGGGGATTCTTTCGTTTCCCACCTTGCTGATCCAGTTTATAAAAATGGAAATAGTTAAAATTGTGTGCTGCACGCGGTGCTGTGCTGCCCAAATTTGCGCTTGTCTGCATTCCACCACTGCCACCGAGGAGAGACATGCTCACAGCACGCAAGGACAAAGCCGCGTTTCTTACTCACTGACCCCCCGCTCCCCCCTCCCGTCCCTTGTGCAAAAAGACTTTATCCTCTAAAATTTATCATCCAGCTCATCTACAATTTGGATGGACCACTCAGGGACCGCAGGGTTAAATAGCTCAACCGTAGCCACCAGCTTTACGCATGACTTCCCCGTGCGTGCCGCCTCGAGACCAGTACCCTGGTCACATCGCTTTGATGCATGGAATACCAAAAATCACAGCTAATTCAGACACGAACCGCGGATCAGTTTTTATTTTCCGTATTATCCTTGTAAGAAAGAGACGCTTAAAATGGCAGGTGCGCGCGTTTTGGTTGGGTTGACTTGGAGGGCGAGGTGAGACTTTATTTCTTTAATACACCAGAAATTTTGACTGGAAATTCAATTCTTAACGTGCATTTCTTAACAGTTTAACAGTTTGCTCCGTTAAATCTCACGACAAGACAAAAAAAACCCCCAAAACATCAGTGTGCATTATTCTCAATCGATTCGTCCGCGCGTTGGAAAGATAATGACCAGGTTAACGCACGACTGCAGACAAAAAAAAAAAAAAAAAAACCGACTCGTGTTTGGGTTTGGGTGTAATATCTGTATGCGAATGATTATATTCCTCTTGAAAGACACGGACGGTTTACGCGGCAAACATCTAAAGATGGTAAATACGGTCAGATCATTCATCTCTGTGTTTCCAGATGCACTCAGGTTTCCCAGCAATGGACCAAGATGGACCTTATAAGAAATATTATAAACTAGAATTTGATTTTCCGTTCAAGGCACTCGGAATAAAAAAAAATCTGTTCTGTCAGAAGAGAAAGAGAAGCGTGCCACTTTCTTTGTTGCATTTGCCATGGCTCATTAGACTGCATTTGGGTGCGTGCTTTGTCCTCCAACGTGTGTTCATTTCAACTGCTCACAGTGCTAACTGCTTTTGTGTGGTGGCTTCAAGGTGAAATTGATTGTTTGGAAATTTAAGTCTGTTTATCTAAATTATATAACATATAATAGTATCAATATAGGTGATATAAATATATATATTTTTTTTTTTTTTTTTTAAAGTCAGTGAAGTCTTTTTGTATCAGTCATCATTTCTATTTTTTAGACTTTTAAAAAAAATTCATTTTTTTTTTTTACAAATCAAGCTGTTCAATTCAATAATCCAGATTTGCTCATATTGCCACTGAAATTCCACATGATCATTGCTCCAGAGGAAAAACTACAACAAATGATGAATCATTTCTCATGTCTTTTGTCCCTCTCCCTCTGCCTTCTTCCCCTCTTCTTCAGGTGCTTAACCTCCCTCCTGCCAGTTCTGCATGGTCATGACCTGTCATCACGCCCCTTCCACAGCCCACCTCATCCTATTGGTCCTGCTCATTGTCACTCCACAGCTGGCTGGCACCGCCCCTGTGTGGGGTGAGGGAGGGGAGGGAGGGGTGGAGGGGCACACCCGGACAGACCATAGAGAAGACAGCCTCGCCCCCTTTCTCTCGCTCCCACCCCAGAGTCTCTCCAACCCTGACAACGTGTCCCTAGACCGGGGCCGGGGCCCAGGTCAAGATAACCAATCAGATAAAACGACGGACCCTGCGCAGGTGCTCGCTGTGCTTTTGGAGGCCCTGGACCACCCGGGGGAGAGTGGAATCCAGGGGAGCAGAAACAGAGACTGGGAAGAGGATCAGAGTCGGGAGCTGCCCTCCGTTGAAAGGTTGGAGGGTGGTGAGATAAGGAGAAGGGGGCAGACAGAGCCAGACAGGGGGGAAGAGCAGGAGAAGGAGGGGCAAAGGGCTGATAAGGCTATTGAACAGCTAATTGTGGGCCATTTGACAGCTGCTCAGGCTGAAGATTTAAAGGAAAGAGAGGAGGAGGATAAAAACACAAGGTCAGAGGAGAATCCAGGGTGGTCTGTGGGACCTGAGCGTGTAAGTGAGGAGGGAAGGAAAGAAGAGATAGAGGGACAGGAGAAGGGGAAGGATTTAGAAAGTTTCTTAGATATCGCCACACTAAGTTCCACCTCGCAGGGAGATGATCTCTCTCTGCAGCGCAAAATAAGAGGCTACTTCCAAAACATTGACTTGGGTCTCCAAGATAATGAGATCCTGCCTCCACTGAAGGGCTACAAGGCATATAACACTCAGCTAGCACGAGCAGGAAAGAAACAGCACTGGCAGGAGAACCAGTCCCGCAACAGACCCATCAAGGGGGGCAACTTTATGGATGACTTTGAGGATGAAGGAGAGGAGCTGGAGGAGGAGGTTGAGGAAGAAGAGGAGAGCCTCTCCCACATGGAAGAGGAGGCGAGAGCGCGTGCAGAGAAACAGGAGGTGCTCCGGCAGCAGGAGGAGGCGGAGCGTGCCAGAGAGGAGGAGCAGAGGTTGGCTGACATCGCCTCTGACATGCTGCTGCAGTACATGGGGAGGAAGCAGCAGTCCTACATGAAGCCCCGGCAGAAAAGCAGCATGGGAGCCGCTGGCAACACCGCCGAGGACAAGCGCTCCGAGGAGGTCCTCCCCGATGAAGACGACCTGGACCAGCAAATGATCGACAGGCTCATCGAGATCAGCAGCAAGCTGCACCTGCCTGCGGATGATGTGATTGAGATTATTAGTGATGTGGAGGAGAAGAAGAAGAAAAGGAAAGAGCTTCAACAGCAGCCAATCAACAGCAACCCTGTTGCCCCACGCTTCAGGCCTCTGGTACCTCCTCCTCTGGCTGCTCCGCCTATCTACCACTACACAGCCTCAAAAAACCCCAAGAAAGCCCCTTATAGGTACAACAAATCCAACAAGAAATGGCACAAGGACAAAGTCAAGTCATATAAGCAGGAATATTGGTATAAGCCTCAGAAGCAGCTTGACTACTGGTATAAACCCCAGAAACAGTTTTTAGCCTTCCCTTCCTATCCATACTACCAGAAGCCATATCGAGCATACTACCCTGTATATTTCCCATATCCCAAACCACAATATTATGGCAAGCCCCCCCCCTCCAGAGACCAGCCGTTCGGCCCCCAGGAACTTGACCTCCAGGCCCCAAGGCGCAGGCATAGGGCTGGGGGTAAGAACCGTGGACAGGGCTGGAGGCAGCAACCAGCACCCCGACTGCCTCTCACCCCTTATATCTCTAACTATATCCTTCCTCACCCACGGACCTACCAACCCCTACCTCCCCCCAAACCAATTACCACACCCAGGAGAGGCAGGCGACCCCCATACTACTATCCGCAAATCACACCGGGAGATGACTATGAGGAAGATGGGCTGGTACCTCAGCTGGACAGTGAGGAGGAACTGGAGAACTTTATTGAGAGGATCTACATGAAGCGCAGAATGTATTGAGAGACCTTTTTGGGACATTTTATAGATCAGAGGGACTGACAGAGGTGGGATAGATATACAGTAGCTGGAGAAAAGCTAAAAGAGAGGTGAAAAAAAAAGACTCAGAGGAGATATGTGTTTGGAGCCTGATGGAAATTTAGGGGACAAGAAGAAAAAAAGTTAGATTTATCTTGTTTTAATCACTGTATTTTTGTTGATTTTCTCGGTCAGGGAGAGGATGGAGGGGTCCCAGTTTAAACTCCCTGTAACCATGTTCAGCCTCTTGCTCAGTTTACATTTTTGAAACAGAACATACCATGGTGTATGTCTGCCTCCATTCAGGTCAATCTCTGATGCTCTTGCATTATTCAGAGATTATTAGAGGACACACACACAGGCACACCCACACCCCCCCCCCCCGACACACACACACACACGCACGCACACACACACACACGCACACACACACACACACATCAACACGCCTACATACAGTATGATCACATTTTTGACACATTCACAAGCAGATGTGCCCATTGTAAGAGAACCATGTTTACAACATCACTTTGTATTTTTGTTTTATATTCTGTATGCCATATTACAAAACTAAAGTAGTTCAATGACTTCTTATCTACAGAACTATAAAAAAAAAAAAAGAACACTGCTATTGTCAAATAATAAGTATATTTTTGTTGTATTTGATGTGTGTAGACTACTGGTCAAAAGTTTTAGTACACTCCCATTTTTTCCTGTTTTTATTGAAATTTCAGCAGTTCAAGTCCAACAACCCTTAATGCGACAATGGAAGTAAATGAAACATTGAAAGTTAGTGCAAACAGTTCCTACAGGTTGATGACTTCTAAACCCTCTGTCTGTGCAATTTGTGTTACTACACCCTCTGATGCATTATTAGGACAATAGTGTACTGCAGGAAGTAGTAGGCTCCTGTACATTACTACAGTTTATTTGTTCTATGCTTTACTTTCAGAAACACTGAGACATTGTGTTTACACTATGTAAATTTCAGTTACAAGTGGAAAAAATTGAGGTGTTCTAAAACCTTTGACCGGTAGTGTAGTTGCCTTTCTTATTCCTGATTGGATCAACAGCTGCAATTTGCAAAGGTGCCAAATACACACATTTCAGTTTTTCAAAGTCAAGATTCAGATTTTTGCCTTACAAGCACCATGGTTCTATAAGGGAGATATCATAATGCATAATATTATCAGCACTGCCGGTCCCAATGTAGAAACCCTGTGGACTCCAAAAGCACAAACTTAAACACTAAACACTTCCAACCTGGTGGACTAAGGGTTTTCAATCATTTTGGGATCCAGAAGTTGTTGTGTCAACATATTTATAGCAGAGCCACAATCGCCACCTCCACACAGTACTCCTTGCCCTTGTAGGAGTTCTTCATATATATATATATATATATATATATACATATATATATACACACACATATATATGTATGTATATATATATTTATTTTCTCTCATTGGCCATATCCAGTTCATATCTTTTCTCACATATTTTTTGTGTCTTCTCACATTCTTCTTTTGCCATTTTCCTTGTATCATATCCATTAGCTCATTTCCCTTACTTTCCACGAAAAAAAGTACTTGAAATCACACTATCTGTTCTGCAGCCTTTTACACAGATCTCCACCAAGAGGCTACAAACATTTTATTCATTTTCAGAAGAATTTCATTGAAAAGTTTCAGGCCGGGGAGTCAGGGATTGTGCTTAAACCGTTAAATGCACGTCTTTCTACTTGCATCTTAAAAAATGAACAAAAAAAAAAGAACAAAAAAAAGAGAAAAAATAAAACAGTATGGAGAATTCAAGATGGTTGTTTTCTCTGAATAAACTGTGAACATAAAAAAAAGAAATCTCAAAGGAAGAGGGCCACTGTGTCCACAGTGAAGCCATCTGTCTTGTAAAAGGAGAGTGTTGTTGTTGATGTCACCTTTAGCATTGTAAGATGTACAGTGTGAAATAAATATGCCCGTGCAATGTGTAAATAACAGCATGATGATTACTAGTTTTGCTATATGATAAAAAATAAAAGCAATTATTTTATTAAAGTTCAGTTTTTTAATGGCTTTTTGGAGAGTGCTGTTTTACTTCTATAGCAACAAATGTAGCAAAAACACTTCATTCTTGAGTAATAAATAAATGAAATATATCAAAATACACACAAGAGGAAGAAAATCAGTTGCAGCTTAGTGACAGCACAACTCATATATGTCACAGTCACATCAGTATGGAGACAAATGAAGAAAAAAAAAACCTATAGAGGGAGTTTATTATATTCCCAGACAATTAAAATGAACAAAAACAGCAAGAATGGGACTGAAAAGGGGAGGAATAACTGAAGAAAGGAAAAATTCTGAAGGAGGGAGGGAAACGGTAACTGCAGTGATTGATGAGTCACATGATTGGTGGATGAGTCATCCATCTGTACACTTTACTGCGCAGGACCACACACTCCAACACACACAGACAGACACACACAGACACGCACACACACTCTCTCTCTCCCTCTCTCTTTGAGCTGTATAGTAATTTAGCTGCTGGCATTCAAGATAAAGATTGAGTCATGTTCGCTCCTGCCTCAAGCCAGCCAATCGGCCGGTGGAAAGGTGTTTGGTTGATAGATTTTGCCATATCTTGTTTCCACACCTCCTCCTCACTCTTACTTCACACGGGCAGTATGCCCTTCTGCTATAATTTCCTTGAAGTGCTTCTGGCTGCTGCTTGTTTGGCATCAGAACAAACCTTATGTATGCTGTCAGTGGTACAAATACTGACAGTGATTAGCAGGCTGTCAATATGGTCTAATCGCATGTTATCTTGCCAGCTTGCTCACCAGTTGATTGGAATGGTAACGTTCATGGCTTTATCTTGGCTTGTTAAGTGATTCTTGGACATCATGTTATGATTTTTAATTACAGCTTGTAACCTCTGTAGATATCCAAGCTGGATATCCATTGACTGACTGTAAAGATGAATGGTGGCCACAACTCCCACTGGCCATCAGCCAGTTAACTGGGGAAAAAAAGAAAAGAAAAAGACACAACAGCAACAGAGAAGCTGAGAAATGAGTAAGTGACCCTTATCTGAAACATTTATAAACAGTATGTCTAGCAGTGTAATAATATGACACATGCTGTGTCGTATTGTTGGTAGGAAAAAGCAAAGATATTGTTCAATTTTCTGGACATTTGCAGAGAGTTACATGAGAAGATCAACACCACTCATATCTATACAGTGGCGATCCTAGACTCTGGGGGGCCTCAAAGAAGCCCCCCCCTCCCCAACACCCAGGGGTCCCCCTAAGGGAGGTTTTGGGTCAACGGCAGTGCAGTGTATAGTGTCTTTATGGGAGGTTTAAGGGGGTTTATAGTTCTCATGGCAAAATGTGCAAATATGAGGCGCCATCAGGGGTCCCTTTCCCCCTTGGGGGCCCCAAACATTTGCCTGGTTTACCTCTCCTGACAGTGCACCTCTGTATTTATGGCTAGAGTCAGAAGGCAGTTATCTTAACAGAGCATAAGAATTAAACAATAAATAATAATTAATTCCTCGACATCTATTTCCCATTTTGTTTCTCTTAAAGTGGAACTCGATGCCAGTTTTATCCAATCCAATATCAGTTCTGATGCATTGATTGATCTTATCCATCACAAGTCCAACAATGTAATAGGAGTGCCAAGCTAAATTGGTGGTGTACTCTTTTAAAGAGCTTTAAGGAACGGCAATCATCTTATCCCATGTTATCTTACAGTAGCCTATCATATACACTCAAAAACAGGGGCTCTAAAGCTCAGTAGAGCTGAGTCCTGATGTTGAAAGTAGTTCCTAATTGTAAGGAGAAAGTTCTAAAATATAGTGTCAGTTCTGATTGTAATCTATTAATCTAGCCATCTAAAATGTGTCATTTAATTTTTAACTGATCTATTTTCTTAATTTAATCTTATTTAATTTTATGTCATTTATTGAGATGAAAATAAAATATTAAAATGATAAAATATATAATCTAATACTACATTCATAATTTAATTTAATTTTTCACTTGAGTACTTTTCATTTAATTTATTTTTATGATTAGCTAATTACTGTAAATTGTATTAAATTACATTTTAATTCTACATACATATCTCAAATAAAATATATATAAATATTTATTTAAAAGTAATTCAATAAACAGTTTTATTGATTTTTTTCAATTTTATTAAATTTAATCTCATTCCTCTGTTTGCACGTAAGTGATTTTGATTGAATATTTGATTTCACATGCACCGACACAGTGGTCACCTGTCAACCCATGGCTGTGGACGTCAGTAGAGAGCAAATTAAGTTAAGACACGACTCCACCCCAGATCTCTGCTGCCCGCTGGATGATTTCTGTCACCTTGCAAACATCAATGAGAGGTGTTCGGACTGAGCTGTCCTGACTGGACACAGTAAGACTTTTCTGTGTACTCCGTCTCTAAATGATAACCAAGATGAATACAACATTATCAAATTAAACATGAAACTTTGTTGCAATTTCCATACAACTGAGACTATGGTGTTCGTCACAACAGTCAAGTCAAATCAGTTTTGTATGTAGTCCACTATCACATATCACAAATTTGCTTCACAATCTGCACAACATTCGACACCCTCTATCCTATTGGCTTCTCAAAATGAATGGGTTGATGATTTATTAATGGTTATATGCTACATGTAGGACTTTTGACCACACTTTTATACACTAGTATAAAGCCTGTGATACAATGTATAATGTCTTAGAGAATTTAGATCCACCTCTCTGTAGTCCAACAAAATTTTTCAAGCTAATTTCTACCTCATACAGTAAATTTAACAGGTTTGAGACCTGAGAATGTGGCTAAGCAGGTCTGCTCTGGTAATACATGTGGTCCACGCAGAGGAAGCACACACCGCTGCTTATGAAAACGAGCCCTTCATAAAGTCCCCTTTCACACCTTGTTGCCAAGCTGTGGACAAAA